TTAGGGCGTGTGGTGCATGTATCATACTGTCACTTCCTTTCTTAAGCGACTGCAGCTTACAATGTAGGCTCATAGCAGCCTTTGTAGATCTGCTCGCAAAGAGTTGTTGCACTACGTTTCATACTGCAGCCGCCAATTCAGTACCCACAAACTGAGGAATAAGATGAGAACTGATGGTCGAAAGAAGCCACAAATCAAGTGCACTATCCTGCGCCACAAAGTCCTCAAAGGCATCATTGGCACGTACCTCACCGGTATCATCAAGAACCGTCTCCGACGGTGGCTTCAAAACTCCAGTCAATAAGCGTTTCAGGCGGTGACTCCGGACAGTAAGCAGAATTTGCTGCTTCCATAGGAGAAAGTTTATCTCATCAAGAATGAAATTTATTTTCTTTTGAGAGAAGCCCGTACCCGTGGATGATTCCATGACCACCAAACAAGAACGAGCAGCAACAAACGCTAGACAAGGAACCCAAGACCAACGGCGAAAGATACCATGATGAAAAATGTATATGATAGAAAATTATGATAGAAAATATTTGTACTCTACATTCATACAAGCTGATACATCATTTATATATGCTGCTATGCACAGTCTATTAACGTAACAAACCAGCTAACAAACTAACCAATTATTGGCGCCAATCTAACTACCCGATACTGGATCTATTAGGGTACATGAGCGTGCACATCAAGCACTGGTATAGTCTAATAATGTTGACAACTTTGCTTCATCTTTTCAAATGCCTGCTTAACTCCATATTGATTTAAATCAATATTATGATTATTAATTATTATTTTTATCATATCAAGAATTATCACTGTATGTGTAAGCAACCTAATTTAAAATAAAAAAATGTAATATAAAATTTTAATTAGAGTTTTTTTTGGAAGTTGGAACCATTTATTAACATTAATATAAAAATTCAATAATTACGATTGACATTTTAATAAATTTATGAGCTTCATTATTTTATTTTACAGTTTCTTTTAAATATTATTTCATTTTACATTTTTTTAAAAAAATTCTTATCAAATTTAAAATAAAATATTATAGTTATAATAATTTTTTTAATTTGTGGGCTCTAAGCAGACATCCCTTTTGTCCTGGCCCAAGGTCAGCCATGTGTATAAGATTTATTAATAAATCATACAAGTTAAAGTGCTAGCGATATAATCGAGTCGATTTAAACTCCAATAGTGATTAGCTCAAGCTCCACTTGATATTTAACATGAGCTCAATCAAATATTAAAATACAAGTTTAAATTCTACTTAAGATATAATTATTTGAGTTTAAGCTGCTTAAACTCGACTAAGTTATTATCGAATCAAATTCAATTTTTCAAATAGAACTTGAATAGTTTGTAAATACTAGTATCACATTTATATATCTAAAACAATTATTAATCGTATATGACAATAATTAATATAGTAAATTACTTATTGAGTCACCCACATATTCATATGTTTCTGTTTTGGTCTCTCAACTTTTATTTTTTCAAAATCATGACTGATATTATTTTTTGTTTATGTTTTTGTCACATGTCGTTAGGTTTGACCATTGGCATAAAGAAATGGTGATGTACCATAGTATAATATCCGTTTTAGTCCTCAAAATTTACATATTCTATCAAATTGGTTATAATTCAAAATAATTCAGTAAATCCTCATATTTAAAAATCCTATAAGTTTGGTTCTCATTTTTATTTGAAATAATTTAATAATAATTCATTAATAGTGCAACAATTAGATATTATTTTATTAATATTTTTGAGGATACATATCTATTCTAAAAACTGTCAAAGTTTAAAGACTTCTTTTGTGAATGTCTCATATTCTTTTTATTTCAAAACTTCCGCTCAACTTTTTCGATCAATCACGTCGTTGTCTTCACGTCCTCCCCCCTTCGCAATTCGTGATTGAGCATAACCTTGACTACTTTGTTATTCAACATCACTGAACTAGAAGCTGCCTTACCAAAAACAGACGTCGCCCTTCACAAATATCTTTCTAACTTTTTCGACCTCAACCCCTAACCAGAAATTGATGAACACCTTCAGTTGACCGACATTGACTTACCACCACTCCAAACATCAGCCCGACAAAGATCCAAGCCATACCATTACATCCCTTTGCGCTGCCAAGTCCATTGTGCCCCTCTGCCCCACCTCCGATCAACTTGAACCCCGACAACGAATCACTGCATGCCACATCACGCCTCACCTAATCTTTCATGCACCTCCTCTTTAAACTCAAGCCTTCACATCCTGTACCCACCAATCAAACCCTTGAAACCCTAAACTAAAACCCAAAATTTTCACACACAAAAACCGATTAAAAACCTAAATTGTTATTGAGTGCTAAAATTGAAACCCCAAAATTTAGGTGTAAATAATAGAATGCGTAACTTTTAGGGCTAAAACTTAGACCCCAAAAATCAGGGGTAAAAAGATAGAATGTGTAAAATTTTAAGGACAAACTGTTTTTATACCATGTTACAATATTATTTTTGTTAAGTCAACGGTCAAACCTAATAATGAGTGACTAAAATAGAAATAAGACACAACATTAGGTATGAATTTCAAAAAAATAATAGTTTAGGGATCAAAACATAAAAACATAAATTGATGGATGACTAAATAGGTAGTTTAACTTTTTCTTTGTTCCAACATTTCATTCTAGGTAGATCATGGTTATCAAAACCGGACCGGATCGGTCAGTTCAACCGGTTGAACCGTGAACCGGTGGCCTGTTCGGTCCAGTTACCTCATAAAATCGGTCTGGCAATGAACCGGCTGAAAACCGGTAGAACCAGCTGAAATCCGATAAAATCGGGGTGAACCGGCTAAAAATTGACAAAACCGGTTTGAATCGTCGGTTCACTTTTTTCTTTTTAAAAAAAATTAAACCAAACGACGCGTTTGTTCAACGAGCCAAGTCAAATTCGAGTATTGCTGAGCTCGACTCGAACTCGAAAACTTTAAAAGTAAGCTCAACTCGACTCAAAAACTCACGAGCTAAAATTATCAAGTTCAACTCGAACTCGAAATATAATATTAAAACTTAAACTCGAAAAGGCTCGAACTCAAAAAAAAAATTAGAAGTTCAATTGAAGCCTAAAATTTGAGCTCAATTGAAGCGAAAGAATAGTTCGCTCTGTGCTCATCAAAAAGCTTCATGATTTTGAATGTCAAATTACCTCTATTATTTATAGAAGTAAGTTGTGATGCTCTTCTATGTTTCTTAGCCATGTGAGATTGTTTTGTTCTCATATTTTACTCTTTAAACTTTTGGGATGTTCTTCTATGTTTCTTAGCCATGTAAGATTGTTTAAAAAAAAACAAATGACATCATTTGTTATGATTTTTTTAAGCCTCAATTTTATTTTTTTGATTATAGTTATATAATTATATTTATTATTTAATATGTTATACCTTAAATATTATGTTGTAGTTGATTTGAATCATTTTGTTTCACTTGATTTTATGGTTTTTAATTTATATATGTTATGACTTGTGATATTTTTATACCTTTTAATATTGTAAACTTAAAAAAATATTACATATATATTAATATTGCTTTGAATATTATGTAAAATTAAAAAAAATATTATTTTATATAAAATCCGGTTCAATCACGGTTGAACTTGATTGAACTAGTGAACCAGTACCTTCACCAGTTCAATGTCCGATCCGATTTTAAAAACATTGAGGTAGATAGACTGAATAGGAAGTAAAGTAATTAGCGTTCTGACTTAAAAGATTAGTTATTTTAAACATTAAATATAATTAGATAACAAGTAGAGTCACAAAAATTATATTTAAAAATGGTAATTATTCTTTATAAAGTAAGTTGTATTTTTCTATTGCCTACTTTTTAGTCTGAATAGTTATTTTAAATGGACGATTGAGTTAGTTTAATTAATTAAGTATTTATTATTTTGAAAAGAGTTAAATATCATATCTTATTAAAGTTTTTTAATAATAAATTCAATTGATATAATTATTTAATAATTTATAGTAACTTTTAAATTAAATTAACGTCTAATTAACTCATGATTACATATTATATTCGTCCGATTCAATTAGTTCAATTTTTATATATCAACAATTGAACAAGTTAATTAAACCATGAAAAGCAAATGGATTTTATTGTTATAATTAAAATACTTGAACTGAATTTCTTTTTAAGCAAAAAAAAAATAAAATAGACGGATAATTTTATTTTTTTTAAAAATATTTATTAAATAAGAATGGTATTATAAAATAAATATTATATAATTAATTAATTAATTTCATTTTCAAATATTTATTTTAATAATTAGATTAATTTAATAAAACAATACATGTAAGTTATTAATCGGAAAAAAACCTTATTCAATGTAGAGTTTTAGAATCGATAATTTAATAGAATAAACTTAAAAAACCGAATAAACTAACTAAATAAACCGAAAAAATAACTAAAATTGATTTGGAATTGGTTAATTAAACTCTTTGTTCAATCTTAAGCTTTTCTTAGTATAAAGGATGAAAATAAAAAATACTAATAAAATAATTAAAATTTAACTATTCAAAAAATAAATAAATTTAAAATAATAAAATAATTATAAATTGTAAGCATTTGATTAATAAATTTTTTATAGACCCCTTATGTGATTTCAGTAATTAAAAAAAGTATTATTCTTTCTTGAAGTTTTAAGTTCGACCAGTTGCATTTGTAGAGTGAGTTTGTGTTATTTATGATTAATAAAATTTATAAACAAATACTACCACATAATCCTATACTATTTGAAAAAAATAACAAAATAGGAAAAAAAATCAGCTTAGTTTTTAATTGGATTCGTTGTTGTTAGAGCATATCTATCCAAAGCTAAATCATTTTGGGTTAAAAAAGACCATATTTTTTAATGGGCTGAGGCCATTAATATCGAAATCGAGATTTTATCATCGACTTTTCTGCGTTGAACACGATTTCATCCGTTCCCAATTTGGGCAAGTTTTAAGAATCGTGAACTGACTGAAGAAACAGATACACCAATTCAGTGTAAAAGCTAACTCAAATGGGCTCTTAATCAGTTATTTTCTTTTTTCCAGGTAATAATTTCCTTACACCCAGCTTTAGTTCCAATTTCAATTTTAAATAAAAAAATTTACTGTAAAATTGGTTTTTTTTTATTGATTCTATCTCTTGTTTTTACAGTGATTAATTGGATAAGTGGAACAATGGCTGCTAGTTTTTGACATTGGCAGAAGCTGAGTAAATTAACTATTTTTTTTCTGGGATTTATTTACAGTTTTCTTTTCAGGTAATTTTCTCCTCCTTTTACCTTTTCTCTCTCTTTTATTTTGGGTTTAAACTGTTTTTGGTTACTGTCTTGTTTTTAATTTCATTTTCTTTGACGTTTCTTAGTCTTTCATTGTGTAGAAGGATTCTATTTTTATCCAGGGATAATTTTTTCCCTTTTCTGTTATCATTGTTCTTTAAGCTTTATTTTATGTTGGGTATGTTCTGTTTTAACTTATGATTTGAATTTAATTATTTAGTGCAAATGAAAAAAAAATATTTTTGAGTAATTATTTAGCGCAAAGTAATATTTTCTATCACAATTACGGCGCATAATTTTCATTTTGTCATTCAGTTGCAAGCTGTTGAGCAAAAGAGTGTTTATTGCAGTTCATCACTATGTTGCTCAAGACTTGGGTTAGTATTAGATATGAATATGTTTCTGACACTGGCATGTTCAATTTTTCTCTGTCCGACATGAGTATCAGACATGATTACTTCAAGAAAATTTTAGATTAGGAAACAACATAGGTTTCGTATCTCTTGTTCGAATAGGGAAGAATTGGAGGATTGAATTTTGGAAAGAAAAGAGAATTGAAATACATGGTTGGAGAGTGTTGCTTTCTATGAAGTGCTAACTTATGATCATCATATATTCAATTGTATATTTTGCAGTGTCCATCCATTGGATGGACTTTTTTCTGGTTTTCTATTTTATTGCTTTCAAGTATTCAGTCTTTATGTGTTCCGTTCGTCTTTTCTGTTTCCATTTCATTGTACATTTTGCCTTTTCCATCTGTTGAATGGTGCGAGTCTTCCAGGTTTTCCATTTCATTGCTTTCAAGTGTCCGGTCTTCTAATGTTTTGTTTGTGTTTTCTGTTTCTGTTTCCGTTTCATGTTACATTTTTATTTGTCCATCCATTGAGTGGAGTGAGTTTCGTGTTTTCCATTCAATTGCTTTCAAGTATCTGGTCTTTATAAGTTCTGTTTCTGTTTTATGGGAGTCAAAAGTTAGGTGTACAATTGATTATTTTCCAATTAAGATTCTGGTTTCAAATTTCGGCGAATAAAAGATTTTTCATGTACAAAATTGTTTTACATTTGGTATCGGACTTCTATGCGAAAGGGAAACGATGTTCTCATCCATGATAGGACTGAATTATAGTGAGAACAAAACAATGATGATTGATATACTTAGGAATAGGATGTCTTTGTTTCCTATCACCTCGAATAATAAATCTAAGATAGTGAAAATTCTTAAAGCTTTCCCTTTCTTCAGGTACAAAGACTAGCATCAAGGGTGAGATAGAAGAAGGTTGCACTTGTTTTTTGCTCAAAATGACAATGAAACCATCGAGTAACATTTGGATTCAACGCCAACAGTGTCCCTGTGGAGATTGGAAGTGTTATGTTAAGTATGAAGGAGATGATCAGGCATCGGTAATCTCTCAGCGTATAAAAAACGAGACAACATCAACACCATCATCATTGGAAGCTGTCTTTATTCCATATGTTGGTCAAATATTCAAAACCGATGATGATGCTTTCGAGTACTATAGCAATTTTGCACGGAAGAATGGATTTTCAATAAGGAAAGCACGGTCCACAGAAAGCCAGAATTTAGGGATCTACCGACGAGATTTCGTCTGTTATCGATCTGGGTTTAATCAACCTAGGAAAAAGGCCAATGTGGAGCATCCGAGAGATCGGAAATCAGTGCGATGTGGATGCGATGCAAAATTGTATTTGATGAAAGAAATCGTCAATGGTGTTACCCAATGGTACATTTCACAATTCAGTAATGTCCACAACCATGAATTGTTGGAAGATGACCAAGTACGTTTGCTTCCGGCATATCGGAAAATCCAGGAAGCAGATCAGGAAAGAATTCTTTTACTCTCCAAAGCTGGGTTTCCCGTCAACCGCATTGTAAAGGTGTTGGAATTAGAAAAGGGAGTTCAACCCGGACAATTGCCCTTTATCGAGAAGGATGTTCGGAATTTTGTACGGACTTGTAAAAAGACCATTCAAGAAAATGATGCTCTGCTTACTGAGAAGCGAGAAAATGATACGATGGAACTTCTCGAGGCCTGCAAGGCTATGGAAGAGAGGGATGCCGATTTTGTTTACGATTATACTACAGATGAGAATAATAAGGTTGAAAATATTTCCTGGTCTTATGCAGATTCAGTTCGTGCATATACAGTATTTGGCGATGTGGTTACCTTTGACACCACTTACCGTTCTATCACATACGGATTGCTTCTCGGAGTATGGTTTGGTATAGATAATCATGGAAAGCCAGTTTTCTTAGGATCTGTTTTACTGCAAGATGAAAGTTCGAATTCTTTCTCTTGGGCTTTACAGGTTTGTCAAAGCTAATTAATTGTTATCGATCTGTAATTGTCTTATCATCTATTTATGTTTTCTCTTCTTTTGAACAGACTTTTCTTCGTTTTATGAGAGGTAGATGTCCACAAACAATTTTAACAGATTTTGATTCAAACCTAAGAGATGCTATTGCAAGGGAATTGCCGAATACGAAACATGTTATATGTTCATGGCATGTTCTTTCAAAATTATCGAGTTGGTTCTCTCTGCCACTCGGATCACAGTATGAAGAATTCAGAGCCGAGTTTGATGTGTTGTGTCACTTAGAAGGCATGGAAGAGTTTGAGCAGCAGTGGAATCATTTTGTTGCTCGGTTCGGACTTGCCTCAGATAAGCACATAGCTTTGTTATTTTCGTACCGATCATCGTGGCCACTTTCTCACATCCGAGGTCACTTTCTTGCTCGTTCAATGACGGATGAGTTTTATCAGTCTATGGATGCATTTTTGAAACGGATCTTGAGTGGACCAACATGCTTACAATTATTCTTCAAGCAGGTTGGTTTGGAATGTAAGAAAATATTTTCCCTGTTTATTAAATCTCGTATGTTTCGAACTACTTTTTAAATATTTGCTTTTGGCAGGTCGGGGTCGCCGCTGATTTAAGAAACCAAAGCCGAGAATGGTTGCAATACATGCATATCAAGACGTGCTTACCAATTGAAGAAAACGCAAGAAGTGTTCTTACACCCTATGCATTCAATGCATTACAGCATGAGATCGTGCTGTCGATGCAGTATGCAACAACCGAAATGGCAAATGGATCGTATCTTGTGCGACACTACAAGAAAATGGATAGCGAATATTTTGTGATTTGGATATCACAAGATGAGCAAATTCATTGCTCATGTAAGGAATTCGAACATTCTGGAATTTTGTGCAGGCATTGTCTCAGAGTACTTACAATGAAAAACTATTTTGAAATTCCGGAAAAATATGTCCTGTTCCGATGGCGACTGGAGAGTTCGTTGGTTCCTATGGAAGATGGGAATGGCCAATGTAACAGTGATGAGTGTGCTCAAGCCTTCCATTCTTTAGCTGCAACTCTGTTGACTGAATCGCTGTTTACGAAGGAACGTTTCAATCACGTTCATCAGGAACTTGCGAGACTCCTCGATCATGTCAGAGACATGCCGCTCTCAAACGATTTTACTTCAAATACGGCGGTTAACAACATCAGTGAAACATAGGTTTCCTGACGATAATAGATTGACCACTGAAGCTTTCTTATCGAACATTTCCGGGCGATACATGTGGAAAATCGAGTCACCTGCGAAGCTTGCTCGCTCTAAAGATTGCCAGAAATTGGGAGGATGAAATTACGGGCCATGAATGCTTTTGATAGATATTGGACGTCAAAACAAAGTAGAGACTTCTTTTTAACAGATATAAATATGTATTTGATATCTCATTTGGAAGTTTTAATGGCCAACCGAAAGTGTAATATGAAGCTTAAAGTTAATTGAATAATGATTTAATCTTTTAAAATAATAAAATAGAAGTTTAATATTTTCATATGTTCTAATAAAAAGTTACTTTTTCAAAATAGTAACACAAGGTAATATTTCCTTTTGAATAAACATGATTACAAGTACGACTAGTATCTGTGTTTGATGAATAAATTTCTCCCCTACTCAAAATAGCGTGCTTAGAAAAAAAATAATATTTTCCTTACTATTGGGATCGTACTTTGGATTCACATAATAATTATTTCAAATATGTTTAAATAAAATATTTAATGAATAAAATATTATTAAAAAAAATATCTTATTTAAAGGATGAATCTACGTCACACATAGAGGTGCACAAAAAATTCGAATATCCGATTTTGTGCAAAAAATATCCGAAACCGGATTTGGGGAAAACCGGTTTTTTTTAACCGGATAGGATTTTTTAACCGGTTATTTTAACCGGTTTTGGAAAAAAAACCTAGACCGGTTTTTTTACCGGATAAAAAACCGGTTTGAAAAAAACCGGTTTTTATCCGGAAAAAAAACCGGTATGGGTTTAAAAAACTAGTTGTTAATATAGCCGTTGGGGGGGTTTTGTGACCGTTTTTTCTTAAAAAATTACCATTTTACCACCCTAAACATGTATAAATAGGTTGGAGATGTATTTGGTTGATTACAACTTTCTCAAACGTTATTACACAACACCTAAACATCTCTCAAATCTTTTTTTTGTAATTTTTTGTTCATCATGAGTAACACGGCTGAATCTTCCGTCCGGGGAAACCTTGAAGTCGTGAGAGTGGTCGAACACACTCGAAACAAAGATATTTGGGATCACTACGATTTATGTGAGATGTATTGAGTTAATCGATTGACTGAATCGGCCAAGAGGGGGTGAATTGGCCATAAAAATTTTGGTGGAAGCTTTTGCAGAAAATTGAAAGAAATTGCACAGAGATTTAGAGTGGTTCGACTTTATCAACCAAAGTCTACGTCCACTACCTTAGCTATCAACACTAAGGATTTTTCAACAAATTCACTAATTTGTTCATTCTTTTGAGGCCAAAGAGATAACCTTACAACTCCCTCAAGAATATACCCCAATTCTTGATAACACTCTTTTCTCAAAGAGAAATACAAATTTGCAAACTTACAAGAAAAACCTCACAAGGCAAATGTGTTTGCACAATTCTAGAACAAAGAAAGAACACTCAAGAATAAATACAATTGAGCACAATAAGTGTTCTGAAAGCAAAATGAATATTGAATGAAAAATAGGCTTGAAATGCTCAAACTTGAGGTTTGATGCTTTCTCTTTGATTCTCTCTTGATTCTAATTGCTTGATGTTTCTTGTTGTTGATCAATGGCTTCTAAACTTGTTTAAATACTCCTTGAATCAATTCTGAACGTTGGTGATAATTAGTGGAGTCAATAGAGCCGTTATTGTGTGAAAATAATTAATTTTCTGGGTGGGAGCGTCTCATGCATCGATGCATGATCAAGGATGCATCGGTGCATCAGTGTAAAATTCAAATATTTTGACCGTTGGGACACTTAGTGCATCGGTGCACTAAGGATGCATCGATGCATAAAATGCATTCGATGTTTGAAAATATTCCGAGTGCATCGATGCATGGAGAGTGCATCGGTGCATGAAATGCATTCGATGTTCAATTAAATCATAGGTGCATCGATGCATGGTTTGATGCATTGGTGCATCACCTTGAATAATTGTTTTAAGGCTTGATTTTGGTTCAAAATACTTTGTGAAAATTGTTTCAAAAATAGTTTAAGTACAAATCACAATTTTACACATTTAGTAAGGATTAAAATTGATCTTCAAAGACTTGGAGTAATAATTTGATATTCGATAAATTGAATCGAATATAAATTGTAAAATCATTTGTAAAAATCTTAAATTCATTTAACTTAATTTGTTATATCGAAATATCAAAATGTTTTTTAACAATCTCACCCTTTTTGATATAACAAAATACTTGGGAAATTTTAAGATTTAGAAAATTATTTTTGAAATCAGCTTTTGAGAAATTACTCCCCCTTACTATGACACACATCTTCTCCCCCTTTTTGTTAAATAAAAAAGACTCTATAAAACGTTTTAAACAAGAATGTTTTGAAAAACTTAAGCCAATTGATTTATTAATTATAAGCTGCTAAGATCACAATCAAAAGAGAGGTTAGCCATTAGTTCCATAAATCAATATTCATAATAAAATGTGAAATGGCATAATTGGTCATATATCTAATGATGCAAAAATAAATAAAGTTCAAACCAAATATATTAAAATAAGTTTAAACGTCCAAGCATCCAAAACAAAAAAATATCCAAACAAACATAAACATCCAAATCAAAATGTTTAACAATCCATGTATTTAAAGTTCAAAACCAAACATGAGTAAACAGAGTTCAACCATCCATAGCGGGATCGGGAGGAGGATGAGGATATTGAGCTCGCATCTCGAGAGAAAGACCATCTAAACGCTCGTTCATCTCTCATTGTTGAGTTCCCAAGGACGTAAGGTGGGACTCAATGAAATAAAATCGAGACTCCATGGATGTCGTATGCAAGGAAAAAGACTCCATAAAAGATAGAAAATATGATGGCACAGGGTCTTCTCTTGTCGAGCGGGTTCCGTAGCCGGAGGAGCATCGTAGGGAACTTCCTCATCAATGTCTCGCATGAGCTTCTGAAGTTCCGGATCGTTGTCCGTATCTTGTGCTGGAGGAGGAACGCGAGAAGAGCTAGGAGCAGCTCGTGAAGAACTAGCTCCCGGGGTTTGCTTACCGGGTCGAAAAGACCATAATATGGGATCCTCATCCAATTTCCAATCTGATTTCTTTAAGGATGTGATATTGATTGGGTTTTGGAGCGGAATAGGATTGTCGAGGGAGACATCTAGGCCGAGTTTGATAAACAAATTGCTTAGCAGACAACCATAAGGTAGGGTTTCTACATGCTTTGAAGGAATGATGTTTATGATATCGACAAGCGCGCTAAAGATAATATGTGGAAAATTAATTTTCTTTTTGTTCTTTATACAGTGCATCCACCATAAGTCTCTAGTACGTAGTGTGGAGTACCGACCTGTGGATGGTCTAAACCACCAAGAGATCATTAAGTGAAGAAATCGATCGTGGTGAGACCTAAGGGTACTGCCACTAGCATTATGGAGATATGGATATTCCACATCTTCCTTCTCATTATACAAACCATCATCATCTAAACCAAATTGTGTTTCTATAGCTTGGGAGTCAATAGTAACATATCGTCCTAATAGATAGGATCTAATCGCTATAGTACCACACTGAGTTGTGTTCTGAATACACACCGCATTGGAAAAAAAATGCGGATAAGTTGGTGAAAGACAATGGGTTGGAGAGAAAATAGTTTATCAAATTTCCATCTTCTAAGAATAGGGAGGTATTCAAAGTCAAGTTTTATCATAGCTTGTAGTGAATGAATACGCTCTTCCCTAATACGATAGGATTGGAAGGAGTTCATGTACCTAGAGTACAATTCATCCCTACGGTTTTCAAGCATGTTAAAACAAGTACTAATAGGGGATGAAGGAATATTGGATGGATTTTGGGGTCTAGGAGCGGGAGGACGGTTTTGGTGAGACCGACTCGAGGATGACCTAGGGCGTTTGGGATTAGACATGGTTAGGGAAATTGGAAAGGAATATCACCTGCAATTTTTAAAACACATGTATGCACAAAAATCAATCCCAAAACTCAAATGAGTCCTCAATAATTCAAGGTTCTAACATAATCCTAATGGGCAAAGTTTTGAAAACTATTTTAAAATAAATCATAATATGTATAGTTTTCATGAAAACAACACAATTGAATCAAAAACTATCACTAATTTTAATTTTTTTAATTCGAAATTTTAAAAAAATGAGAAATTGTGTGTTTTTGATGAAATTGATTGTTAAAACTAATTTAGAATCATCATATAACCAATGCCCGATAATAATTTCAAACTAGAACTAATCTAAACTAGTCTTAAGTTCAAAAATTAATAAAATAGAGTTTTTGTAAAAATACCTTGAAAATTTTGGATTGAGGGGAATGAGGAGTTGTTTTGTGCGATTTAATGATTGTAGCATGTTTATAGGATGAAAATCTTGAAGATTCGATGATTTCCCGAAGATTTTGAGCAAAAATATAGATTTAAGGGAGAGAGGGGTCGAACGGTTGGTTTGGAGAGTTTTGGGGTTTTAGAAAAATGAAGAAGATGAAGCAATTTAACCTAAAACCCGACAGATGCATCGGTGCATGGTCTTATGCATCGATGCATATTCAAGGCATGCATCGGTGCATCATGCGGATGCATCGATGCACATTCAAAGGGATGCATCGATGCATTGTTAAATGCATCGGTGCATGAAGCACAAAAATATCAAAAATCCGTTTTAAACACTTAAAATGCTAAATAATTTGGCTCTAATGGTATTGGCAACTCATATATCATAAATTAATTATGTTCAATCAATCAAATTAATCTTCAACTTTATTTGAACATAAAATTAATTTTCACTAAGAATCACAAACTCCCCCTAACTAATAGCAAGAATGCAATCAAAAATTATTATTATAAGCATTTTTCATTTATTCTTAAAAGTGCTAAAAATTATTTTAAACACTAAGTGAAGATAGGTTGGCTAAACCTAATTCTCTCCTAAGTGTCCAAAATCTTTCTTTGTCTAAAGGTTTTGTAAAGATATCCGCATGCAAAGTATCAACAAATTCTAGAACTACATCTTCCTTAGTGACATGGTCTCTAATGAAGTGATGTCTTATTTCAATGTGCTTAGTTCTAGAGTGTTGGATGGGATTTTTAGTGAGACAAATAGCACTAGTATTGTCACACTTGATAGGAATGGTACCAACTTC